TWMMAWKATCTTGGAAAGATGGACTCTTAATCTCTACCCCCAAGCCAGCTCCTCTGCAGAGCTCTCCAACTCCCCCTGGCTTCCCAGGCCACAAGTCTGCTGTCTTTCTCTATCTTTCCTTCCCACCTCCGTGTCCAATCCAACAGCAAGTCCTGGGGGCACTACCCGTAGAACCTGCCCCTGACCTGGCCACTTCCCACCGCCTTCACTGCTTCTGTCTGGTCTAAAGGCCAGCCCTCTGCCTGGGTGACCAAGCGGCTTGCCCACTGGTCTCTCGCCTCCTCTCCTCCTGCCCACGTGGTGGTCTCGGTGATGCTCCTTGCGGACTTCCAACCCTCCCTGTGTTTGAGGTCACACCTCTGTGGATGCTCACAGCCAATGGCTGCCTGTCTTCCTCAGGTGCAGACACTCACACCTCCCAGGAGGAAGGTGGGCACTGGAGCCCCTGTGTCTGGGCCATTCCAGCCTGGGCTGTCCTGAACTGTGAGTCTCCGACCCCTGCTACCCAAGCCCCGCCCTTGCTGTTTATATCCACGCCCACTTTCCGCCCCGCCCCTCGACCCAAGCCCCGCCCACTTCCTCACCTCACCCCATTCCCGAGCCCCGCCCACTTCCCCGCCCCTTGTCCCAAGCCACGCCCACTCCCCACCTGCCCTCTCCTGTCCCCAGCCCCACCCACTCTCCACCCACCCTCTCCTGTCCTGAGCCTGGCCCACTTTCCACCTCATTCCCCTCCCGAGCCACGCCCACTTTCTGACCTGCCTCTTGCCCCAAGCCCCGCCCATTCCCCACCCCGCCCTCTCCTTCCCGAGCCCCGCCCACTTCCCACTCACAGCCACGCCTCTGTACCTGCACAAACTTATTAAAGCTGATGAGGTTTTCGTTGGAAAGGACCTGGTTGATGGAGAYGGTCCTGACCCGCCCATTGCCTGTGGAGGGGAGAGACACAGAGGGCCACTGGCTCTGGGAGGCACACGGGCAAAGGCCAAGTTCACGGCTCTCTGACTCCTGCACACGCAAGGCCTTCTGCAAGTCCAGGACCGACMGCAGAAGTTGGGGTCCCGCCGCCTCTGTTCCGTGAGCCCTAGGCTTACTGAGTCGCTGGAAGTAGGAAGGCGCYGAGTTGGAAATTTGCAACCCCCCAGGGCGCTGAGTAGCGGCTGCTCTTCCTTTGGCTGAGGGGACCTGGGTCCGTCGCTGTCCGCCCCCACCCCAGGGCCGACCTCTGTCGGCTCTCTGAGCAGTCAATCAGCGAGTTCTGGGAGTGGACACCATCAGGCCCTGGCCTGCCCTTCAGGAGGTGGCTCCCCAGAAGCCCAGCTTTCCTGCTGCCTGATGGGGTCCCATGGAGATGGTCGGACAGGTGCAGGGAGAATAGGACGACCGCTCGCAGTCCTCACTGGTCTGTGCTGCCCTGAGTCCAGAGCCCAGCTTCTCAGGAGTCTCACCCTACCAGGTACGCATTATCATCTCCACTTTACAGAYGAGGAGACGAGGCTGGGGAGGCCAGATGACTCACCCAAGGTCATACAGCTGGGACTTGGGGGCTCAGTGGTCACAGGGCCTTAGGCTGGAGAGAGGGAGGAGAGGGCTCCCTCCAGCACACATACACCTGCGGTTCCCGTCCCTCCAGCCCAGGTGGAGGCAGCTGGTTCCATTGCTGCCCCAGCTCAGCTGCCCCCTCCAGCCAGTGCCTCCCCCCTCTGCGCCTCCCCTTCCTGGGGTCTGAAGGGGGCTGGCTGGAATCCTCCCAGCCCTCTGGGGATCAGGGTGGTGATGTCCACGAGCACCAAGCATGGGGTGTGGCACACCTGGGTGCCTAATACTGGTGCCACCTCTACCTCTGTGAAGCCATGACCACGCCTGTGGGTCGGCCCTGAGTATGGTGGCCGCATGGCCTGGGGTCTCCTTCCCAGCCAGGCAGTGGGGTAACTCCTGTCCACCTGATTCTGGGCCAGCTCACCGTGAACTTGGTCCCCCAGGGAAGATGAGGGGGCACTCCCCTCCCCGCCCCGCCTGGCCCGGCAGCTCTGGACTGGAGGATTTTTAAGGTTTACTTTGGGTTCACGGGAATCGAGCCGCGGTCCCTTTGGGAGTGATGGACTGGGAATTATGGGCTCCTACTTTATGGCTGGTTCCAGTGTCGTGCTGGGCACAGGGTGACGTCAGCACAGAGGCCGGGGCACTTGGGAAGGGAGGATACTTGGTAACTCTGCAGTCTCCTCTCTTGGGTAGCTTTGGTCTCGGGGTCATGTGCCTATGCAGGTGGCCATGGACCAGGAAAATCCATGATCCAATGGCAAAGGGGCTTTTGCCCTGAGACCCCTGGGACCCCAGACTTCAGGAAGGTCCCCCTGGGGATAAGGTGGTCACAGTGGGGACGGGAGGGGGTGRAGTTGGCAGACACCCTGCACGCTGGCCCAGATGGTGGCCCTGCCCCTCCAAACTCCTCCTGTGAGACACGAAAACGTGGGTTCCTCATTCAAAAAGCAGGAGAAAGGAGCCRTTCAGGGTACCAAGACCCACAGCCGCTGCTCCTCCCACCTCTCAGCCTGCCACAGGGTTTTTAATTTGTTATTTGATGTGGCACTCCTTTGAGCTTGGGACATACCTGGGACAGGGTGGACCCTCAMAGCACCCAGAGGCAGAGCCCTGATTTGGTGCATGTGCCCAGCGTACAAGTGGCCAGGCAGCCCCTGAATGAGACCCGCAAATTGTGCAGCTTGGAAGGCTCCGCGCCCYTCCCCCCAGGCCCGCCACCCCACCCGGCCAACGCAGGGGCTGCAATCAGAGCGTGGGAGCCCCTCACCGGCCATGCACTGCTGCGGGCTCACCCCGGCCAAGCCCCCAGCACATGTCCCTGCAGGCAGATCCCAGGCCCAAGCTCCTGCTGGGGGAATAGGACCACAGTGTCCCTGGGCGGTGACAGAGTCAGGGAGACCTGGCAGCTGGGATCCAGAGGACAAGGGAGTGGGCAGCAGAGAGCCCACCTGGGGAGGCAGGGAGGATGGGAGGCAGAGGCTACAAGCCTTCAGCTCATGCCTGATTTACCCCTCGGACTTCACTTACAAAACACAAGTCTTAGGATCCAAGAAGGTGACACAGAACACTGAACTCCAAGTTCCAGAACCTTCTAACAGAAAGCTTGGTGCAACTGTACTGGTCACAGGCTGGCTATGTCCCCAATTTCTCCATGCCCACCCATATGGATGGTCCCCACCCTCCTGCCTCAGCTCCRCCCCAACACGGGCAGCAGTGGCTGGGGTCAGGGGTCCCGAATCTGGGGGGACAGCACTGCTTTAAAACCAGCCATCCCTCTCTGAAGCCACCGTGTCCCTTCTTTCGTGATGCAGCACCGTTACCCACCGATGACACCCTCGAACAGGAGGGACCTGCCRTGGCCCCGCTTCTTCTTCTCCTGGAAGAGCCTGAAGCAGGCGGCAGGGCTGGCCAGCAGCATGCGGAAGCCCTGTGTGCGGAGCGTGGACKGCTGAGCCCCGGCCCGGCCCGGCTCAGCCCCTGCAGCCCAGCCCCTGCCCCAGATGCCGGGAGGGGCCTGCCACCGAGTCTCACCTTCCCATCCGGGGCAGGGACAAAGCTCAGGAACTCGTCCACGTGGCCCACGGCCAGCCAGTCCACAAACAGCTCCACGGGCGGCTGCACCCGCTGGGCGTGGAGAAAGTCCCGCACCACCTGGGTGACCCGGCGGCCCCTCGACCTGGCACAGGGTTAAGAAGGCACGTAACTAAGAAAGACTCCGAGAGTTCTGCAGAACCTGACTTTACAAAAGGCCCATAAATGTGTGCATTTCATACCCCACCAGGTGCGTTCCCGATGAGGCAGACTGGGGACAGGTCAGTCACACCAGGGCAGTGACCCATCAGGCCCTGCCMCCTGGGCAAATCCTCAGAACCACCCTCAGACCCTGTTCTCATAGATGGACTGCAAGTCACCAGTTTCACACCCACATTCCATCCCTCCATGGTCAGGCAGTTCTTGCTTGAGTTTAACTTAGATCTCTCTTGCTGCACCTTCACCTTCCTGGATGTCAGTGGGGAGAGAGGTGGATAGAGCATCCCCAGGGCCTTACAGTATTTTAGGTTTGTGGATTTAAATCCTGTTTATATTTCCTCTTTCTGGGGGATCATGTACTTGAGGACAGCTGGTCCCCTCTAAAGCTCGACTCTGGATTATCTACTATTTGATCCTGAGTCTGTTCTAACAGCTTTGCTGAATTGATTGGCTCAGTGTCTTGATCTGTTCCACAGCAAATAACCACTGTGGTGTCATTCCTTGTCCACCAGCTCTTCTGTGCCACGCATTCAATAACTCACAGTCTGTGAGTCTATCTGTGTCACCAGCAGGTCACTTTGCACGTCTCATACAGCCCTTGCCCCATGCTCAGGGAAAGACCCTCTGTTAGTCATTTACACTATAGTATGAAAGAGCTCTGGCTCAAATGCATTGTCTCCTGGGACAGTGGGGAAGGGAAGCCTGTCTCCTGTCACTGTTAACTGGTGGACGCTGTGGTCAGCATCATCTGTTTATTCCAGAATCAGAAGGTCCAGGCCTAGTCACCCACCCTCCCTGGGCCCACCAGGAGAATTAAGGGTCAAACTGAGCCATCTCCGAGGTCCCAGCTCTGGCTCTCAGGTGCCAACAGTGTCGGGAACAGCCCTCCCCCCCCCCCATGTAGGACTACAGTGACGTCACTCCCTGCTGGTGCCCAGGCGTGGAGTGGTCCCTGGCCCAGGCCCTGGTCACCATGCCCGCCCCAGCCTCCACCRGACGCCAGTCCCTGCCCTCTCACCCCGGCAGGTTGCCCCCGATGAGGATCCTCCCCAGGGGGTACTCCTTCCCGTTGGCCACCACCGGGGGGCTGACCTCCAGGTTCCCGAAGGAGTCCAGGCCGCTCACAGAMCTGTCCCGTGGTTCCCGAGTCACGTAGCCAAAATCCTGACCCTGGCGGGAGATGGGGGTCAGGTAGGCGGGGAGGCAGGGAGGACTGGACTGACTCGGGGCTCTGAGCTCCCAGAGGACGGGTGGGCAGAGCCACCATGGCTGGGGGAGACCGAGTGACCACGGAGGGGAGACCGAGTGACCACGGGGGACAGACTGAGTGACCACGGGGGG